GAATAAATATCGAATTCTGCAATTTAGTGGTTTTAGTAAATATGTGCTAAAATCAGCAATTATGTTCTAGGTCAGGTAACACGTGCTATTGTCAATAAATAATAATGTTTTTCAATGGCAAATATAACATTATAACTCTGTTTTCGTCAGAAGCATGGCAGATCATGGTAATACGTATATACCCTTTGGGTACTCAAATATCATTATAGACACAATTAAAGAACAATAGGTTGCGGACACCGGTGTCCTCGCGGTGTTTGACAGTTTAAATAAAGAGAGTATACAAGTATCAATATCAATAGGCTCACCCCCTATTACATGGGACTTGTAGTTACATAAATAGTGAAAAGTGGGTGTTGCATTGTACAGTGGCAGTAAGTGCCGTAATGTGCACCTCTGCCTATCCCTTCGGGGATAAAATGCGTGATGTTATATTAGTATACAAGTATGGAAATAGAGAGTATATAAGTATGAGTATACAAGAAAACAGTTAGCTAGTTTACTTGCTTACTGTTTTCTGCTCAATATTGCTAAATCCAAGAAATAGTTCTGGTCTAGTCCGGGTGTCATGTGTATGTAAAATTGTATGTTTGTTAAGCGCGGGCCTGCGGACGTCGAGCATGGGTGGCTCCCCGTCCGACCAGAAACAGACCCGAGCGTACGGGGCGGTGAGTTCCGCGCGCGCCTCAAAGAGCCATCAGGCAACCACAGATGGGGCCCAATAGGGCCGATGCCGATTCGGAGTCGCGGAGAACCTAACGGGTAACCGGGACTCCGGCTCGACGTGCAGGAGAAGGAACGGGGTGGTTTTTAGTCAGTAAGAGTCTAACACTCCCTCCTGCCTCACCCAGGCGGGAGCAGTCATTCGATGATTTTCCCCCCTTAAAAAAACACAGTAACAACACGGGAGAAAAATTATAGCGTAAGGTAAAGTTTTTTTAAATAAATAATGACGAAAATATCTGTATCTACGAAGTATTATTTTCTCTAAGGCCTGAAGTATTAAAGAACATTTGATTAGCTTAGATACACATATGTAAAACACTAAAAAATAATGTTTTGTTCTTGACGACAGACGATGGTGGGTAGGGGCAGCAGTACCACAAATAAAAGTTGTTTTAAATTGATATTTTTGTAGCCAACTTAGCTTGCAGTCAGCATCAACGATAGGTGAGATTTACCAGTAAACTGGTTTATTAAATAAATGTAACTATCATATACTATAACCTGTCATAGTCTGTAAGGTTTTTCTTTTTCCTATTGTTTGTTTTATACTTTGCTACCAAGTTTGCAATTTGTCATTTAATTTTAAGTACTTTTCTGTTTTGTTTTTTTTTTCTTTTTTTACTTATTTGAAATGTATAACGCCTTGGTTTTATGACTGTGATGTTATACTATTGAAATAAATAAATAAATAAATCAGCCCACCAGCATACAAGTATTCCCGACATATTGACCGATGGTACAAGCTAAACAGTATTCGATTCTACTTCTAAAATGTGTATTTTAGAAGAATCCACGATCAACACATACCATAAGATAGTCGAAAAATTTATTCTCGATAATTTCATAACACTATCGAATGAAAACGATTTCTTATGAATCGTTTCACATGTGACTTAGTCCACGTGAGGGCGACTCCATCGTTACAATGTAGCTATCATCACGAACATCGATAACAATGTGGATCTACGCAATCGATTAAAAATATCGAGATGTGACAATCGTGGGTTTGGTACGTGGTCAATCACTAGTTTGTCCAACCAGAGATTGGGATAAGGTGGCTGTTATCGATAACTGTTAGGTACCTATAATATGTTTTTCTTTTTAAATTGACATGTTTATATATTGGATGGATAAATGCTCAACAGAAACTCGCCCATAAATGATTGAGAGAATATAAAATTTTATTTATGTACATATTTTGTGTTTAATATATATTTTTATTTTTTTATACATTATGTTATACAGTATTTATTATTGCTATTTATTTTGTTTCTTTTGCATAATTATTACACAAACCCATTTTCGCTGAGCTTACTTTTAACCCAAAGGTTGACTGGGAGAAAATGCCATATGGCATTAAGTCCGCCTTATGTACCTTATTTTGTGTGCATTAAAGTGTAAATAAATAAATAAATAAATATTATAAAATTTGAAAAATTCTGTAGAATTTAACTCGAAACGAAATTTCGCAGTTGTTGTTGTTGATTTGAAAAGAAATACATAATTATAATGATCACAATATTTGCTACAAACTAAAAGTAAACATTATTATATAATGTACTTAACAAATATAATAATTATGATACAAATTACAAGGTCAACTTAAAATTGTAAATGCCTCGAAAAATTATACAGACGTTTCGATAGAAATGTGATATTTTCGGTGTTTATTTATGGTGTTGGTTATGTAATCAATAAAAATTAAATTAAAAAAAACCTAATAGTTCGATTGGCTTTGTTAAAACACATTTACTTAGTAAAAAAAACAAAATACACATTTATCTTTAAATGATTACAGAATTACTGGGAATGAGCTCTATGCTAATATTTAGAATTTTAAAAATTCTTATTCTTGAATTATTCTAAAATTTGTGGTACAACACTGTGTCTAAAAATGAATATACCTCTATACCTAGAGGCTCATCCTGCATATAGAATCGAACTTGTAACATACTTAACTGGTCATAAATAAGTATTAATATATTGTACAAAATGTTTAGGAAATTGAAGACCAAGCCAAAAGCTACGAAGAAAATAAATAAATAAACAAACAAACGAGTTTTTACTACACATCGATTCTAAAAATACCCTTAACCAACGAGCATGTATGAAAAGACTGATGACTGTTTATAAAGCGAAAGAGGTATGTATGAATCAAAGCAATTGGCATTCCATAGTCTCTGCCTACCCCAATCGGAGACAAGCATAAGATTAATTGACTGCCTCGTTAGCCGAGTGGTCGCAAGTGCGACTGCCGGGCAAGGTGTCTCGGGTTCGATTTCCGGATCGGGCAAAGTATAACTGGGTTTTAAAAAAAAAATAGTAACACGGAGTCTGAAATTGTGCCCGGTATGTGGCAATAGGCTCACCCCCTATCACATGCGACTCATAACATAAATAGTGAAAAGTGGGTGTTACATTGTACAGTGGTATAATGTACACCTCTGCCTATGCCTTCGGGAATAAAAGGCGTGATGTTATGTTATGTTATCTTATGTTCATAAGGTTAATTATGCAAATACATAGAATCGTAATAAAACAAATACATACCAGGAGTTAATAAATACGAAAGAGATGTAATAAATAAAAAGTTTGTTAAAGGTAAAGAAAACAATAGCTGTAGGGAAAAGTTAGCTATTCTCGCTACTGTCTACTTACATAGTAAAACAACTTTCATAATACACAATTCAGCCCAATACAAAAGAACATACAACATACTTTTTTAAAAAGAGTAACGAATGGAGTTTCTTGCTCGTTCTTCTCCATTCGAATCTACATTTTGGAATGAGCACTTAGCACATTATTTATTTTGAATTTGTTGACGTTTCAAAAGTACTAAACTATGGTTTAATTGAAATAAATGCTTTGACTTTGACTTTGAATCTTTGAACTTGGCTAACAAAATTAAATGATTAATAGAAATAATAAAAAACTAACTTGTAAATAACATACAAAGGTGACCTCTTTTAATTATACAAAGGTCCGTCAATGTAACACAAATAGTTAATTATTTATGTATACTTTTATCATGAGTTTCATATGTACATACATATAACTTCATACGTCATCTTAATTTTTGAAAAATATTTATTACTAGCTTCGGCCCGCTACTTCGTACGCGCAATCCCGTTTCCTCCCGTTCCTATAAGATTTTCAGATTTCTTTTCTATTATAAGAACCTTTGCCTGACAATAACAAACACAACAAAAAAAAACAGCCAAATCGATCCAGCCATTCTCAAGTTATGGCGTGACAACGGGAAACGGGTTTCATTTTTATATATTTTGCTTAATCCGGTAACGACGCAATCAGATTACTCAGTCAATCAGGTCAGACGGTAATTATAAGATAAAATTAAAAATAACTAAACAATTCTTTTAATTAACATTTTCTAAAAACATTTTACCGATAACATTTTAATCTTGAACTACAGTAAAATTAACGATCAACTTTTGTATGTTTCTTAAAATAAATATCATAAATAAAGTTACCAAAACTTATACATTTTCATTTTTAAGGGTGAGCAGCCTTAACATATTGATCCCTAGACATAATATTGTATAGGTATTCCATTTAATAATTCTCTGATTGTAAATATACCACGTTGTTGCATAATAACAAGTATGTTTTAACACGATACAAATCTTTAAAAACCACTTACTTATTGTAATTGTTCATTATTTAATATTATCTACTAATTAAGTTATCACAAAAGCGCAACACTAATTAGTTACATTACTGCACTCATTAACTGCTATCGTCTTAACTATGACGATTAACAAGTTTTGCTGCTACTCTAGTCATTAATAGGGATTAAAAAACCATCACCTCGTTAATAACTTCAATTAATCGTCGTATATAAAGACAGAAATACGTATACTCTAACCATTTTAATACATTTTACATTTCCAACAATAGTCGCTTCGAGTTCTATATAAAATATTAGCACAAAAAATTAATAGAATAACCACCTAAATATCGAGGTGGGCGCGCAAACTTTTACTCGCGAACTTTCAGCAGCAACTTCAGCGCTTCCTTCCGGCCAACCTTGCGTGCATTGCGCGGGCGGCGCGGCGCCGCAGTTAGCGCCCGACCGCCGCCGCGTCCGCACGCGCGCATTGTACGCTCCGCACCGACACGTGATCAGACGCGAACATAACACGCAAAGGATTTAACTTGACGTTGCATGTGCTTAAGTGACGGGTTCTCAGTGCTTTGAAGTGGAGCCACGGGCTACCGGCGCCGCTGGGCCCGTGATAGGCCCGGGCGGCGGTATGGAATCCCCGCAGATGTACGACGCGGCCGCAGCGCCACCACCACCACCTCAACCAGACCTGAAGAAAGCAGTAGAAGATAAGAGACAACCCTTCCCGCCACCGGACCTAGACGAGCTCAATGGCCAGGAAATCAGCCTTGACTTACAGCACCTCATTGAGGACCAGTTCCGAAGTGAGGAGAGCATGGCCTTATTCCAGGAAATACTTCCTGGTGGCAAATCTCCTCAACCAAGGTACAATCGGACGACATTGGCGTACATGCCACAGCCCGTACACTCGGGGGCGTCTTACGCACCCGTGCAGACAAGCCAGGGGCACGAGCAGGCACCTCCCATAAAGGAGGAACCGCCCGAGCCTCATGACTATCGTAGATCAGTGACATGCGCTCAATACACTGGGCAATATAATCCTCAGCCAACTGTCGGAGTCAGTGGACCTTATGGAGGAGGATTTACACCACTACCTCCTCTAGGTGCACCTTTGCTCCCGCCTCTATTGAAACACAAGCCCGCTCCTGCTAGACGTTCGTCAGGGAAAGTACTTGATAAAGGAACGGATGAGTATAGAAGGCGTCGTGAACGAAATAATATTGCAGTGAGAAAGTCTCGTGAAAAAGCTAAAGTACGTTCTCGGGAAGTAGAGGAAAAAGTGAAGACACTCCTCCGGGAGAAAGAAGTGTTACTAAAGAGGCTGGAAGCGGTGTCAGGGGAACTGAGCCTGCACAAACAGATGTACGTGCATCTGATTAACTTGAACCACCCGGAGATCACGGAGCTGTGCCGCTCCATGCTGCAGCTGGGAGCGCCGCAGGCGCCGGATCATTCACTCTGACCATTATAGGTAGGTACCATAACACATGTGTGTGCGTTCAACTGCATTCGTGGTAGTGTAGTGTGCGATACAAGAATTGTGTGTGTGATTATTTTCGTGCGAGCATGGAAAGTCGTAAATCACATGGTGTATGTAAAGAAAAGGATTTTTTGTATTTTATGAGAGCGTTACGCAATTTGTTTATTGTCGTAGTTCTGGAGTGTCGTTCACTTTGTATAAGTGTTTCTTTGATTGTAAAAGCGACTGAAATTCGACCGTTGCCGTGTTGCTGCTTATTTTATTAGAAATGAGTGCATTGTTAATGTTTATAAAAACGGTTTCTTTATTTTTAATGCCCGTCAAGAGGAACAGTGTCCCTTGTTTTTACTTAATTGTTTTGTTAGTTTAATTTATTCTTGATTTTTGATCTTGTCGTATTTTTTTCTGCAGCACGTTGTTCGATTTCAAATGATTTCAATATATGTAATTAATAAATTTATTAATTTATGTATCTCGATTAGTATAGTTCAAAATTGAACGTAATACAAACGGTTCGTTAAATACTGGTTACTTAAACGTACAATTTCCGAATAAACGGATATTCCGATTATTTGTTTTTATAATTCGAGTAATTTTAATTTCCCTCCTTTTTGTCATTGTTTTTGTCAAATGTGTCGTAGATACAAAGCCGGTTAGTGCAATCGTGTGTTGCAATATTGTCTCATGTGGTGTAAGCCATAAGTGATAGATTGCTAATCATCTCTCGGGGAACATTTTTTCTACTGTCGACGTTGCGTTGACCGATAACTAGCGGTGAATGTAAACGATGTACCGCCATTAGTTTTATTCTGAAATCTATTGATTGATGATCACATTGATCACTTTAATGATTGCAATCCTTTCCAAATATGTGTCAAATAAGTATAGTACTTAGCTGATAATTATCCTCTAGTCACTTTTTGTTCCAAATTAAGCTCTTCGTATAAATACCCACTTTGCATCTTTCAAGTCGAATGTTATGAATGAGTAAGAACAAACTTGTATTACTAAGATTTTCTGCTCACGTGTACTCAACCATAATGTATTTCAAAACTTAATTTATTATAGTTAGTTTACAATTGTTACGTTGAATTGCACGTGATTTTCAATAACAAAGTCACGTTTAATCTGAATCATTGTGAAAGTTATGCATTTTGCTAATACTCAAAGAACTCCCGTTAGCTACCTCGCGAACCAGTTTTTGCGCTTGCATAATATTCGTAACATAAAGTACTGGGCTCTCATCACTTCCTCGAAGCTGTCTTTGAACTTTAGTACAGTTTACGATCTCTGCTTTTGGCAGTTGCGTACTGGATTTTAATCCCTGTACAATTTATGTGTGCTCGGTATATTTGCTAATAGTAATCGGCTTATGTTAGTGCCACCAGTTAAGATTCATGGAGCCTTGGTATTTGGTTTACGAGAATAGAAATAAGTTTGACATAATGTTTGATCTGAAAATACCTTTGATCCTAAAATAAAAGTCATATTTTAAAACATTAGTTAGAATTTCCCTCAAAAATGTATGTACCTAAAATCAATTATTGTAGGTAACGAATAAAGGACCACGAGACCTAGTACATCGACGTATCTTTTTAATTATTTACTTTAGGTCTTTTTGTAATGGATTAAGGTTGAATGTTAACTAAAATCGCGAGTGCAGTACGCGCTTTGCGAACCAAATGAAGTTACTGTCACTTTCGAAGCGACCATATGTTAGTGTATGTGATGAGGTTACGATATTCGCATATTATTCTATTATTATCTATGTGCGACTACGTATTGCTACGTAGCGTAGCAAGAGTCCAACTTCGAAAGGATACAACAATACCGTCTTAATCTTCTGCATGCCTGGTAGATGACGTAGCACAATCCATATCTGGTAAAAAAAGAAAACGATTCTCTTGTTCTTTTACAACAACGTTATATGTTAGTGCCTATTTTATTTTCATAAAATAATATTAAAACTCATTGTAACAAAGTAAATAAATAAAATGACGTAGACATGAATTAGGTACAAAAATAATCTGACTTCCTTCAAATACGGCCTTAACCCTACATAGATAAGTTTGCGGTATTACATAAATGATAACGCTAATATTTGCAAAAAAGATTACTGAAATGGCAATGGCCTAAGGATTTTAGATAATGCGCGCAAAAATGTACCAATACGAAGAAATGTTCCGCATGTCTGTTTGTTTTTAGATAAAAGTAAAAATAGACATATTGATAATGTGGTATTTTTAATAGATAAAATTTGATCAAGATTTGAATTAAAATACAAGATTTTGAATAAAGTTTCTTAAAGGTTAATTGCACGCGCCCCCCCCCCTCCACCTATAACATAGATTTGTTATATCTGACAAAATTAGGTTAGGTTGTCTACATTTAATGAACTGCCAACCCCTTAGTTGAATCAAAGGCGTGATATGTTTATACTACAAAAATAATAAACGAAAACAAAAGTGGTTTCCGATATTTTATTTAACAAATACGGCTATAATGATAACGCGAAATGAATGAATATTCTAATTTATACAGAGATTCCGGTTTAGCTGATTTGAATACGAATAATGCTATACTTTCAGTTCCTCGCAACCTATATTATCCTGGTACCTAGGTATTAAATTTGAATACTATGTGAGCCAGACTTAGGACGATTTCCCGTGGGAAAACAGTTTTCCTCAAACGATTATTTAATTAGAGAAATATTTATATGAATCAAACTGCATACATTAAGAAATAACATAAGTCGTATAAAACGAAACATCTTTTCTCCACAAAATACATATATTTTTTTTTAAATAGAAATCCCAATCTTAGAAAAGAATGTATATCTTATTACAACTATAGAAACTTTAAAAAAAAATTAATTAGATGAATATTTGTTTCGAAAGCAATACCTTCCGAAACTCATAGGTGTTCCCCAGGGAGCTATTTTGGGCACAAATGATTTTTAATTCTCTATAACAACAAGAAATTAATATCTATTCACTGAAATGATCAAGTATCTCTCTATTACAATTTGTAGGTTGAATAGAAACCAAAAAGGTTTTGGTTATATTTACTTTTTCATAAAATCTACCAAGCTGACACGATTGTTGGACAAAGGTATGCTTAATCCACGTTTTTCTAATATTGACCGACTTGTGAGCCCAATGACGTCAAATGTATGCTGATTGTGTTTGGTGTCACATTAATTACGATCTATGTTTATTCACATTATTATAATGTAGACAAATCGGAAACTATTCTAAGATCCAGCCTTTAATTCGTCCTAAAAACTAATACTTCCTTATGAAAAATTGTTAGTATGAGAAGAGCATAACAGACGGTCAGCTACCTACATTTGGCTTGAATTGATTTTGTGACCAAAACAGCAATTCATGTTAACAAAAATTTAGTTTCCTTCTTGATAAAATTCTGCTTGTGTCCCTAGGAATAGAAGGACCATTAGTATTGTTTGGTCTTTCCGTAGGATATTCATGTGTAACTTATAACTACGTTTTTTTTTTAAATAAACGCACATTTTAAGTGAGACTCGCGCGTGAAGTTAATACATACTGTTGCTATGATAGTATCTAGGTTACCAAACACATTTGTTTTGTTATTGTTCAAACCGTCTCTTTTACGATTTTCTTGTCTTTCAGGTTTCACTTGACTTAAGTGATCTAGTTAGTTTTTATTAGTGAGCTCAAAATCAGGTTGCTAGTTTGGCATATCATTTTTTACTTCGTTGCCTACATTGTAATCTGTTTCTCGCTGATTCATATCCTTATATGACTAGTGTGTCATTTGATTAAGCCCTTATAGTAGAAAGTGTGTTGGTACATTAGCGGATGCCACCATATTTCAGGATATGTCAACTTTGTCTCGATGTACCGTGAAAAATATGCCAGGCCTCTTGGAAAAGGAGCATAACTCTTTAATGCCGGATCGAAATATTTAGTATTCAAATTCGTTTGTGCAAAACGTTGTCTGACGGCGACTTTCGTTTTCACCGCTGCGTCATCGCCGCAGGAAACTGGACTTTATCACCCACCAATTAAGTTACGTTTTTGGCTGTCAAAGTTGAAATTTTCGCCTCTCGTGCCCTACTTAATGGCTTCCGTCGGTTTGACTTGTTGATTTTAACTATTTTATGTTTGCACGCTTATGGAACAATAGTTTGTGAGGCTCTGAATGTATTTGAAATTTAGAAACTTATAGTAGCAAAATTCAGATGTGGATGCTAATTACCCGGCCTCAACTTCCACTGAATATATTTTGGCAAACCGGTTTCCACGTGGTATTCGGTAAACTCTTCTATAGTTATGTGTTCCTAGTACATTACTTGCTATCCCTCAAAGCCGTTTATTAAGTAATTTCCTATTAAAACAATTTGGTAAATTTCCCTTAAATATTCTCTAAAATTTGTTTCTTCAGTTCATTTTCGTTCACAAATTTCACATATTTGTAGGTCAACGTTTTATTTCGTTTTTTTGTTCTTTGAGTTTGATTCCTAATTTAAACGACATTAGGAAGGGTTTAACTTTAAATACTTTAAATGGCGATATTGGACAGTAATTTCATGACCTTAATATTTTTAATTTTATAAACAGTTAGTAGAAAACAGGTAGTTTTTAGTTTTACCGGTATTTTAATTATCTATTTGCCCTATGTTTCGCACATACTTAACTGGTGTATGTTAATTTTAGATGTTTTATAGAGCGAAACGACATTAAGTATGAAAATGTTGTGGTAGGTCAGCAAGCTCAAAAACTTAATGTACCAATAAAATGGCGGATATAAAGTACCAAACAAAACGAGATTAGAAAAATAATGGCGCGTGGGCGGACAAAATATATCGAGGTCTACTTTCGCAACCATTTATAAGGAGTTTCACTTTCTGCAAAATTATTTTAATTTAATTTTTAACATAATTAAATTATTAGAAATATTTTATTAGTCGTTTAGGTATATTTTTATATCTGCTGTGATTT